CTTTCGTGGGTAAAAACCTCACTTCTTCAGATGCAACACGGCTACCCCTCTGATACTAAACATCATATTTGACAATACCTCTTTCTAACTCCTAATTTCAGTCTGGCCAATTTGACTCCTAACCAGCACTGTTTCACAATCAAACTGGATTTTCTATCTCACAGGAAATATGGCTTTACCATTGGTAACAGCATCGTGCTATATTTTTCTGTACAAGTTTAAAATTTATTATCTGAGTGGCAGCTGTCTAGGATGACTGACTTTTGTTTAAGATCATTCTGCTCATTTTCTTCTTCAGCCTGGTCTGTGGATAAGGGAGGAGAAGGCCCTGTATGAGATGGGAGGTTCTTGGGGAGTTAAAACTGGCTTAAAATGTGCTTCAAAGAGAGACCATAGTTTCCTGCAGAATAAGGTTAGTGATATTTAACTCAACCTAACAGTGACCTCACCTTTCTGGGCTTGAATCTGGGTGCTGTCTCGGTGTTAAAGTTCTTGCTCCTTTGCCATGCTTTCTCCTTCATCTGCCTTTGTAATCGGCCTTCCTCCAGCTGCATCTTTTGAATAAATTGAACCATTTTTTCCAGTGCCTTCCTGATCAACAGTATAACTTGTACTTCTTGCTCTTTTTCATCTCTCTCAGCTGTAGGTACAGAACGTTAGCAATTACTCTCAGCTTGGAAACTGAGTCCTAATGAGTGGTTATATAGGGGAAGCTACCGAATTTCTGAAACAGATTAAGGGCATGGATTAAATGCCCTAAAAGGAATTTTCAATTTCTGATTCTGATGATTCTGTGGCATGCTGTACAAAAATGATTTATCTGTCAAGTCTGTTCACCCGCTATTTCCTCTTTCAACTTTTAGGACACCCACGAGAACTTGCTATAGATTTATTCAGAGTGTGAGTTCTACCAATCATAGTGCAGTTAAAAAAAAAAAAACCTACGATGAGGCTGACATACAGAGCCATTGCAGAACAGGGTGGGATTTCTGGGGCAATTGGCAGGATTTTGCATGGGATTCTTAGATTGCAGCAGAACTGAAGAGACACTGTTCAGGTCTGCAGTGAGATTTCTCAAGATGAGTGAAAATCACCCCTGTGCAGACCGTCGGAGAATGGTCCTGCTATTGTAGGGAGCTTTCCTGGCTTCTGCACTACCCCGGTGGAATCAGAGAGTGAAAGGATCTGAGTTCTCGCTCCAACGCCCTTTATCCAGATGCCTGCCAGACCTTGAGGACTCCCTTTTCACTCTCCCATGTGTCAGAGTCCTCATATCCCGATAAGGCTGGGCCCAGGATTCTGGGAGACTAAACCCCCAGTCTCGTCGTGGTCACTTAGGACGGGGGGGGAGGGTGTCTCCCCTCCGTGGTGCTCTCTCCACACCCCAGCCCAGTGAGCACTACATTAAGTTCAAACCAAATACAATGTATTAAATAGCAAAGAGCAGTATGAAAAGTAAGAGGGGAAATGGGAAAGGGTCAAGGAAACAAGGCAGGGGGAAAGTGCCAACAGCCGTCTCTGGGACGTTCACAGGACCCCTGGCCTGGTGCCATCTCCCTGGCTGGGCCGGCAGCCCAGGATCCCCCTGGCGCTCCCCAGCTGCTCACCGCCCCGGCTCTGGTGTTACTGGTGGCACGGCCGGCGTCCACCCCCCAGCTCTGTCCCCGCAGCTCCCCGCTGGAGCCCGGCCCCGGCTCACCGTCAGTTCCCCAGCTCCACTCGGCCTTCTCCGGCTCCCTCTCCCCTTAGCTCTGCTCTCAGCATCCCTCACACGGAGGACGGGACCCCAGGCTTCACACTCCCTCACTGGCCTGCCGGACTTGTCAATCGGGCTGACCTGGAGCTCTGGCCTCTCCCCATTGGCCCTGGGGACGGTCAGTCTCAGGATCCTGACTTCTCATTGGCCCTTCCCCTTTCTTTTGGTATTGAGAGGGGACCAACAAAAAAACCCCACTCAGTTTCAGTAAGGGCCCAACATATGCATCTAGGGTGACCAGATGTCCCGATTTTTTAGGGACAATCCCTATATTCATGGCTTTATCTTATATAGGCACTTATTGCCCCCCACCCCCTGTCCTAATTTTTCCCACTTGCTATCTGGTTACCCTATATGCATCACTTCAGTCCCATTTCAGCCCTATTTTGAGTGGTTAAGTGGGACGTAAGTATTGTACCAGCCTTGCTCTGGCCCTCTGCACAGGGGTGATTTTCACACAGTATGTACAGAAGGGCCTCACTTTCTTCCCGTTAAAGCCTGTGCTTCCTACCTTTAGATAACAAAGATAGTTCAGAGCCCAATAGGCTGCTCCGATCCCTGGCAGTTCTTCTTTGAGCTTCCTGAAGAGAGGGTCCCTCAAGGAAGTGACAGGTTTCCTCAATGTCTTTTAATTTATCCTTGTACCTTATCTGTGAGAATCAGGACAGAAATTATCACTGATATTATCTCCTGTGACAGGGAAGCCTAAAAAACCCAGCTGTTCCAAAAAGTTCTTATAGCGGTACAGATAACAGGAATAACTGTGATGGCCATGGTTAGAAAGAATAAGGCTTTTATCTATACTTTCTTTTCCTCCTAGTCTCCTCCCTTAGCTAACAGAGGATACACACGCTGTCCTAACATCTGTCATCTCATTTCCCCTCTGTCTTGTCTTCCTTTCCCCAGTCCCTTTCTCTTTCTCTGATTGCAGATAGATTGATCCAAAACTCACTGACGTTATTGGGAGTCTTCCATTGATTTCAGTGAGCCTTAAAACAGATCCATTCTGAGTTTTTACTGGAGATTACTCTGCTACTATGAGGCAACAGCTACTAAAAGAATAGCGACAGGAGTGGGCTTGTCTACACTGGGGATTTTTGCACCGGTATAACACAATAATGTAGCTGCACCAGTGAAAATACCAAGTGTAGATAATGTATTGGTGTAAAAAAAGACTTGGACTGGCAATTTGCACTAGCACAGCACCAGGGTACATTGGTGGAAAAATTCAACTGTAGATGAGCCCACACAAAGCACACATGTTGTGTCAAAAAGAGAAGCAACTATATTTCTAAACATCAGCTTGAAAATTTGGCCCAAAGTGGATTCCCTTAAGCACTTGAGAAAAAACGTCCAGTGAAGAATTAGTTGAAGCCAGTTACAAAGAGGAGCCACTGCACCTTCTGTGCCTTTCCTTCCTTTACAGCATCAAGGACATCAAGAAATACAAAGTTTAGCTCTTTAAGAAGCTCTTCTTCCCTTTCTCTTTGGCGGTGCCAGTACATTTGTCTTGAATTTATCTCCTTTTCCAGAATGCTCAGCTGAAAAACAACACCAAAAGCAGCAGCTCAGGTTTTCAGGGTTCTGAAGGAAGTCAGAAACCTATGTATCGTGTGTGATTCTCTGTGCCAGTGAGGAAACCCTTGTTCCACAATTTCTACAAATTCTCCAGCCTGACAGTATAGGCACTTACTTTGCATTAGAGAGATGGATACTTTGCAATGGGAAGTTTGTGCAGGTTTACAACTTTCACTTTAGAAGTTTCTGCTTCAAAGCTGTAATGAAGGTAGCATGAATTTCAGTGGGGAACGTGGCAATGTAGATGGAGAAAAAGGGGTGACAAAGAAATGAAAAAAATAAAGTGCAGAGGAAGGGAAAACAGTGGGATATTGGGAGAATAGGTCCGAGCAACAATTAATTTATTTCTGATCATTTTCAAGTATCAAGTGTAATAAAACATTTAAATTAACTTTTATTGAACTGTGGGAAAATATAAACTGGGAAGCAGACTTTACAGTTTCCTGATCCAGAACTCAATAGTACCTGCCACAGAATGGATCCTTAAGATGTCACAGAAGTCTGTCTATCCTGATAATGCCTATTCAAAAATGAAGATACTAAAACTAGGAGGCCTCCAATACCCTCTTTACAGAACTATCTACCCTCGTCCCCAAATGCCACTCAATGCCCCCAAATCACATAAAACCACCCCAAACCCACTCTCAGAAATGTTTGGTAACCAAATCCCTTGTAAGTAGGTGACAAACTTCTAAAAAAACCCTAAATTCCAGTTATGGCTGGATTTCCTTCTATACTAATTCCAGTTCCAACAACACCCTATTCTGGGAGCTCACTCATGTACATACAGTACAGTACAATAAAAAAATTGTATATACTCTGGTAGTGACAAACTCACACATCCACTAATAGAAAAAGCTGTGGTCTGTTTAGTTAGGATACTGAAGGAAGCAGAATTGTCTCCCCATAGTTTGAAAGCATAAGCAGGGAATTTCTAAGCATTGTCAAATCTGGAACAAATTCTGATTTGTTGAGGCTCTAATTACCAGATCTGAGTCTGCTGCTCCTCTTGGTAAAGCTCCTAGGGACTGAACAATAGGAATTACAATGTTTGTCCAAGGATCAGTTTGAGCACCTATAACTGGGCCAGTCTCACCTGTAATAGGATCTATGGTTCTGGCACCAACTGTGATAGGGACAAGACCTGCAGAAAGGCAAAATAAATAAATTTTTTTTTTTAGAATTCAGAGGATGAGGAGAGTGAGCCATTTAATTTTTGTGCATCCAGTTCAGTGATTGACATTTATTAAATCATAAAAGGAAATGACTATGATCTTAAATAGCCCATTGGTAAAACAAACCTCTGAGCTAGCCCTGCAGCACTGAGCTGCCATGTACACGGCTGAGTTCAGGTCCGAAGCAAATTTCTCTTGTTCCTGAACTGGCATGAATTGGGAGCACTGTGGGGGCAGTGTCCCCAACCCTTGGGGCTGTATCTCTAGTTATCCCCTCTGGCCCATTCAAGGAGTCATATCTAGCTCTCCTGAGTCAGAGACTAAAGTGGGGCCTTTTAGATCACCCACTGGGACTAAAGAAGTACACGGATGTGCAGGCAGAATACGTTTCCAGAGGTGAAAGGCCACTGCAGTCAGTGGTCTAACTCTCTTTCACCATTAAGTTGAAGCTGACTGTTGTGTACAGGTCCACACTACACCAATCAGAATTTCACATTCAAATTTATTAACTTTTTCTTTGTCACGGCACATTACTGATTCTGAAAGCAACACAGATATTGGTGACAGTCCTGCCACTGCCTCACTATGGCTTTATGTTGTGTGATCCGGTTTCTTACTCCACCTTTTCCATCTGCATCTTCCATGGTTCCTGCAAGTGGGGTTGGATGCCCAGTGTTCCAATCACATTCTACTCCTAGGATGGGCACCATCAAATCTGACCCACCAGGATCTGGGATTTTCATTCCAAACACTGCAGGAATCCACATCTCTGTACCAGGATATTTGATAATCCCTAATTCATTTGAAAAAGAAGAGAGGAAGATATCAATACGTGCTGCTAAACTGAATGGGAATTGTTTCTTGATGGAAATAGCCATTTAAAGGCTGATGAATGCACAATGAATCTCCTTAGTTATCCAAATGACCTGCCTGAGCTCATAGTGTAAAGATTTGCTAAAGACAGCAGGTATTTGGCATGTGTTTCTCATCCCACTGTAGTCCTAATATGGCACTGAATGCTTATGCTATTTTGGGCCAACTTCTCTGATGATGTGATTAGATATAGCTCCATTGATTTCAAAGGAATTTCATTCATTTACATCAGTGAGAATCTGTCTCTAAATCATTAAAATAGGCTCAGATTACTTTTGTTCTAAGCAATTTTTTTTCAGTAGGTTTTATGCAACGTACGTACCCAATTTGCCACCATTACTTTTGAGGCTTGAAGCTATTTCATGTTGTTTCTCCAAACTTCGCAGCCGGTGAATTGCATGATGGAGCCTAATTGACAATGACTTTTTCATGTCTTCTACTGCAGCCTTCAGGACTTCCTGCTTGTCTGCTGCTAAGGACATATCTTCACAAATTGAATCTTTATACTGCCTCAGGGCTTTAACCACATGGATCTGGGCGACAAGAGTGTTAGCTTCCAACAGCGCCTGGTAACCTCCTGCATGGGGCAGCACTTTATCTTGTTTAAGGCACGCTCCATGTATCCGAGCAGTCTTCCTACTCAGAGGTTCAGAGAAGGAATCTCCAAGAAGCAATAGGCTTCCCGAGGGTCCCATCAGCCCCCCAACTGGGACCAAATCTCCTGTAGTCAAGGAACAGTGAAAAGAAATCAGAACATCACCCAGACTTTATGGACCTGATCTTGTTCCATTAAAATCAATGGCAAAAAATTCATTTATTGCAACGGGAAAGGATCAGGTCCTAAATGCACATGTAAAATAGACTAAAATGCGGATGTCCATTGTTTACAGTGATTTACAACTTTAAAATACTTTAAATGTATCTGTTACTTTGACTCTAGAAAATTGTGCTGCATTTGCAAAATTAGAATGTTAACAATAAAGTTGGATAATAATACATAGCTCTAATATAGTGCTTTTCATCTATAATTCTCAAAGTTTTTCACATAGTAGATAAGTATCATTATTAGAGGTGGGCAGGAAACCGTTTTTCTGTCCTATGAATATTTTTGAGAGTTTGAAAATGTTTACTGTCCTGAATTAGGAAGAAAAATTGAAATCCTGAAAATGTTTGGAATTGAAAAACCAACAACTATTTTGGTTCAGGTCAATCAAAATGTTTTGTTTTGATAATTTTGAAATCTTTATTTCTTATTTTTATCTTTTCTCTCTTTTTTTAAACAAACCTTTTTCAGTTTAACGAAATTAGATTTCAAAACAAAAAGTTGTTTGGAACCAGAAAAATGGAATTTTTAATTTAAAAATGTCAAAATGAAACATTTCAACAATTTTGAAACTTTTTTCAATATTTTTTTCTAGTGTTTTACAAACAGTTTTGGTTTCAATACATGGGCATTTTTTGATGAAAAAACAATTTTCAAAAAATTTCTGACCAGTTCTGATTACTCTACCCACTTTATAGATGAGGAAACTGAGGCACGGATGTGTCGTGACTTGTCAAAGGTCACCCAGCAGGCCAGTGGCAGTGCCGGAAAGGTATTGCACATTCCAGGACACATTTCATTTGGCGATATGTCCGATAATATAGTACTGCAATATATGAGCCAACAAGGCCTGTGCTCTGCATAGCCTGACTCCCCGGAGACAGAGAATAAGGAAAACATGTAATTGTGGCTTTGCTGTTTGATGTTTCTGGCATTTTTATGCATCTTGTTCAGTAATAACTGCTGTAGAGTGATATTCCCAGCAGAGCCTGTGGGGTATGTAGTATTTTAGGTAACCATTAAGGTGCATTAGTGTTGAACTTTTAAGAACTGACTTTCTAAGTGAACAGTCAATCAAGAGAATAACCTCCCACTCACTAAACACCTCTGTAGATGGTCTCTAATCATGGACCTGAACACGCACCCTTAACTCCACTGTAATAGCAAGTATGAAACACAAAATTTGCACATCTTGCAAGATCCTGCAGGGAAATCCTGTGTCCCCTGCAGAGAGTGATTGGAGCTCTCTAGTCCTGTTGAAATTACAAATATTTTCACACATATCTCTGAATCTCAGGAACTCTTCCTGCTTCTTTGCTAAGGAAATTCAGACAGACTCTGACTGTACCTTTTTGCCTTCTTATCTAAAGGGCCAGAATCCTCAGCTGGGGTTAATCAGCATAGCTTCATTGAAGCCAGGATAGCTATACCAATTTACAACAACTAAGGCTCTGGCTCTAAATTATGTATATTGTACCTCGCCTTACTAAACACGAAAACAATTCCACTTTGGCTGCCTCATGCCTTCAGTGTGGGTGCGACTTGTTTGCTCTGTTTTTGAGTATGATATGTTTTCTAAAATTAGCTATGAAGAACATAAGTGTATGGAAAATGCTTTCTATAAATCTAGAGCTTTTGGCCCCGAAGACCCTAAAGAATGGATTTCATGCTGTTTTTATTATATTAATAGAGCAATTGAACTATCTCCAAGAGTCAGATCAACTTAACTAGTTTTTGTCATATAATTAATGACTACCGCACCTCTTAGTCGCCAGTCACTGCTTCTCTTTCTTTTTTTAGTCATATTTATGGAAAGTGGGGCAGGTTATTGATTTTTAGGACAATAATTTCTGAAATAATATTCTGGGGAAATGAAAGCTTTCTGTCTGTGATACTTTGAGTCCAACCTATGCCGCTATTCGGCTGATTATGGTAGTATCTCGTTCATCAGGAGAAATCAAATGTGGGGAGGGGAGGTTAAAGGTTTGAATCTAATGCTGCTGCCATTTTTAGGATTAGTGAATCGATGATAAGTTGCATTTGCACAATGTGTCACTTTGTGCTATACACACACATACAGCAGAACTGTCAGTGGCGCTAGCTGATGTTGGGGTGTTTTAAACAATATTTGGGGTCTTAATTGAGCCACCATGGTGGGCTATTGAGTTTCTCTGCCCTCTTTTAACTGTTTGACTATTCATCGATCGTTCCAGTGGGAACTACAAGTTCTATAGACCTTTTAGATGGGACATCTTCCTCCTCAATAAGGTTATAGCAAACATCTACCCACTGACTAGCTATGGGAGAGGTGTGTGAGGGGATGAAGGGAAGGAAGAAACAACCTCACTTTGGATTTCCATCCCAAGAAACATGAAGATCATTTACCTGTGTTATTATCCAAACTGACTCCAAGTATTGGGACAATCTTTCCTCCCTCTGGTTCAATCATAGGCCCTCCAATTTCAAGAGGCGTCACTGTTCCTGTAAGAGGATTCATGTACGTCCCACCCAAGGACAGTTTTTGTCCTGTTTGGGGATGGATTGTAACTCCTAGCACTGGGACTTCTATTTCTGTAGCTGGATCTAGCATGAGTCCTCCCAGTTTAAACACTCTGTCAGGTTGTAAGCTAGGAAGTTTAGTCTTCAGTGGTAAGCCAGTCCTTGGAGAGATAGGATACGGAACATAGGGGAATATGGGTAGTTCAGACTTACAAAGCTCACCTAAATATTGAAACAGAAGAGATTTGACAGTTACAAACTATTTTATTCTTCAATGGATACGGGAATTAATCCCCACGCTAATACAATTCTCTGCATTAGAGCTGGGAACAGAGGCATATTGGGGATTTCAAAGGATGATCATTTTCATAAACTTCCTCTTTCTTCATATGAAGAATTAAATGAAGAGAGTGAATTCCCTTTCTTTGGTTGACATACTTTTCCAACTTAATTCCTGCTTTTGCCACTTACTTAACATGAGAAGTTCTTTAGCATATAATATTTTGTACAATTTAATGAACAGAAAGGAGAGAAAAATAATAATCAGAAACAGGAAATATTTAAACATTTGCTTTATATAAGCCTGGTGTGCTCAGTAAATCCAGTCCATGGCAAGGCCCAATTCAAGGTGAACAAAATCTCCTAGTGCCAAGCAGGCAATGAGGTGGTCATAGGCCAATCTGCAAATAAGGTTTTTGTTATAAGAAAAATATGGATAAGTATATTAGGCTTTACTAAAATCGCTCCCACAGATGCATTCCCCACGTAGGCAAGTGGATATATTAATTATCCCCATGTGTCCCATACCTGAAGCAGAGTCAACAGCAGAGATCAGTTTAGAGCTGACTGGATCATAGCCAACATTACCAGCTACAGGGAGCACTTTTCCAGTCTCGGGGTGCAGGAACTGATCCCTAGACACAGGCATGGGGCAGTGATTGACCAACAGCATGACACAGTCTGGGTTGGGAGTTAAGAGTCCAGTTATAGGATCCATGTAGAGGGTGTCAGGTGCCCTCACACAGCCATCCGAGTCTGAGAGCAATAAGTGACAGATGAGAAAAGCAAATGAAAAACAACATTAGATCCTCCATTAGACCCTAGGTTTCTGAAATTCCAAATCTGTATGTCTACAGTTGGATTCCAATCTTAGGTTCAATCAGAAATCTATGGCTATTTCTTTATGATACTTTGTCTGTGATCAGAGATCACATGTAGGTCAGAGAGAGTCAGGAAGGAGAGTAAAGGCTTACAGACAGATCTTCCTATCAACTTCTTTTGTATGGGAAGAGAGTTACAGTGTTCCCAATCCTTATTCTTTTCTCTCCTCAATATCTATGCATGACTCCCATGAGGCTAATGGGACTTATGCAACCATATGAGCGTGGCTAACAATCTCAGATTTCTGCACACAGATTCATGTTGCCCTAATCTGTAGTATACATGGAAATGTCCAAGGTAGATTTTATGTTTTAATTTCAGAAGATTTAAATAACAGCAAAAAAAAATGCTTATACTAGATCTCTAGGCATCATAATATTTAATTAATTTTTCAACAACAAAACACACCCAGCAACATTAAAAAACAAACAAACATTCAAACAGGAACAAATTAACTCAGCTCAGCTACAAAATAGTTCCATTCCCTCTCCACTGATATAGAATCACTAACAAAGGACATACAGTTATACACAGACACCTCTCAGTGTGTTTATCAAAAGCCTAAGGAAGAACAATGAAAATGTGGCAGTTATCAGAATTGTTTATCTGAAGAAATTCCATAGATGGTCACGCATAACAACACAACAAATCCTCTTTTTTGCTACCTGAGCAACTGCATTAGCCAGCAGCAGTGGTAGGCTATTGTCCTATTATATGGATCAGCCACTAGAAGAGGGCACTGAACCAGTGGGTTACATCTGCATATTTGAGCAGTTAAAGTGATAATAGCTCTCTTTGAACATACACTAACTAGTTGCCAGAGTTTGTAGTTACCCAGTAGCTCCTCCTTGGTGAGGAGCCTGGTTTTATCTTTGATAATGAGGTGAGCTCCTGTTCCATCTCCCAGCACACCCCATGCCTTGAGTCTGTGACTCTCCTTTATTACTGCACTTGACATTCTGTTGCTTGCAGCATCTATCTGGGCTAATAACCTGAAACTCACAAGAGAAAGATGGATGTCAGTAATCTGAATATAAGGTAAAACTGTTAAAAGGCAGAATGGCATCCATTTCAGGAAAATCCCACAGCAGGCACATAATCCATCTCTGAACATCAATACCATCAGAAAAAGGATTTTAAGGACTGAGGAAACATATGCTTTTTATCTTCCCTGCTTTTAAAATCGTTTCATTAATACTCCCATGCTGATTCTGACACTGGGACCAGGCTACTCAGACCAGTGTTACCTGGTGTTCTGGGAAGGCTGGCCTGACAGGACAGTTCTTTGGAAGCTGCGGTGACGTGGCAGATGGGAACAAGTCATTAGGAAGCATGAAAAGGAATCAGAATAATTTTGGACCTTAAGGTCTAACTGGGCTCTTCTGAATATCCCCAGCTCTCCTTTTCCTTGAGTTTTCCTAGCCCTGCTTTCCACGAACACGATTTCAATAACCTTGTGGTATCAATACTTTCAAACCCATGCTGGTGCTGGTTACAAACCAACCCACTGACTCAGTACTATACAACTGCGTTGTCTGTCTAAAAACAACAACACTTTAATGCAGAGTTCTAAAGCAAATTACTAACCGTTGGTAGTCTGGTTTAGACCACATGGCTCTGTTCCCTCCACAAGCCATCTTCTCTGTCAGTACTTCTGACAATCTCACTGCCTCTCTCAGGGCAGAATTGAACAGGACACAATGCTCTTCTTGGCATTTCAAATCATGGTGTAATAAGTGAAGTTGTTTATTCACAATCTCATCATATTCAGCAGCCAGCTGCTTTCTGTGCAGCATCTCCTCTTCTGCCTAATTGTAACATAAAATGCAGACACCTGTTTCTCAGGACATGAGCTGAGACTGCAGCGGCTCTGTACTTTACTAAAAAGGTAACAACTGGAGGAAAAAGAGTCAATTTTAAGGTATCTGCCTCCACTTGGGCGCTCAAAGGCCAATAGCTCCAGTAGGTTGGGTAATAATTACCTGGAGGGTAAGTGCCTTTCATGTGTCCTCACTTGAATGGTCTAGTGATTCAAAATATTGGTCCATACCTGCCAGCTAGAACTTAAGGGATCAAGTTCATCTTGCTTCTATACCTTTGAACTATA